GGGGGCGGTGAGCCGCGGGCCGGAGGGCGGGCGCGGGCCGGGGCGGCGGGCGGGCGCGGGCCCCTCGGGCAGGACCCCTCCGCGGCCCGGCCGCTCCCGGGCCTCCCGCCGGGTCGGCGCCTCCGCAGGCGCAGGGCTCCGGATCCTCCCCAGACCGCCCCACTTCCCTGACCCTGGCCGGGACTGCTTCCTGCCGTGCTGTCGCCCGCCACCGCTCTCCCCGCTCCCGACGCTGCGTCCCGGGGCGCTCCCACGTCACCACAGCTCCCTCCCCGACTCCCCCAAAGCCTCCTGCCCCGCCCCTGTCTGCTGCCCTCCTCTGGCCGATCCCCTCTGTCCCTCCCTCACCTGGGTTTGAAAAAACGCCCCTTCCCCTCTTCAGAGCCCCACACAACTCCCAACACCCTGATGGCGGTCAGGCCGTGGGAAGTACAGGCCCTGAGTGACCAAGTGTCCAAGAAACAGTGCCCTCAAATAGCCCTCCGTGGGAGAAACCCGGTCTCCAGCACGCATCCCACACCACAGCCGAATTGACCCTGATCAAGGGAGGGGCCGACCAGCCGTGGGGGTCCCTGGGTGGCCTGGTGTGAAAGAATGTATTGGTTTTTCCCATTCTATCAGTATGGGTGTTTTTTTTTTTTTTTGCCATTTTCTTTTGGGACAGAGGGCAGGTTCCAGGCAGCCCCCGAGGGTTCACTTGATTCAGCAAGATAAAGTGCAGTTTAGATAGGGTGGGAGGTGAGCCCTCTCTTTATCGCAGCCTTGCTAAGAAGCTGTGAAGTTACTTCTTGTTCTCCTAATGGTGAGTTTAGTGTATCAAATTGTTCTAGGAGAAACATACTTGGGTTCCACCCCTCTCCCCCAGAACCTGCTCCTCTGTCAGCAGTCATGGTGACTCTACCTTGGCAGACTTGTTAGGAAAGTGAGAACCTTCTACACACACACCCCACCCCTCTTTTATGCTTCCCAGTCCCTCTCTGCATGAGACCCTGGGCCTGGTCACCCCATGGAGGAGAAGTTCCAAAGTGGCCTTTCCTTTCTTTCCTATCTGTGCCCAGTCTCCACAGCTGTCATTTTAGAAAGTGATCTGATCAACTAATTCCACCTGTGGGAAAAGGTCTGTCTACAAGGAGGAAGAAAGGGCAGGCCCACCTGTTCCTTAAAATGCAGGAAGATCAGGCATGGCACTGGAGATATTGGGAGCAGACAGATATTTTTAGGCAGGTAATCTCCCCACCACCACCATATGCAACATATAGATGGTCCTGGAAGTGTGACCCTGTGTGATCCACTGACATGGAGAATCCCTCTCCCACTTTACCCCTATGTTGGGGATCTAAGTCTTTCCCTGTGCTGAATGATTAAGTCACTGTGACCCTGGAAGAGTGCCCCTTCCTTCCTTCTCCTGACCAGCAAGAATAAGAATCATTTGGGTTCTTTCTAAAACTTTAATATTTCTAAAAAGAAACAGTTTGGGGCAAGTTCTTTGGTCTGGCATTATAGTAGCTAGTGACATTCAGGAGGACTGCAGCTTTCTCTCAACAGCTTATGCTGGATGGCCTGCCCTCTCTTGGGCTTTCTGGTTTTAACTGAGTATTCTTTTTGGTTGAAGCTCAGCTTAAGTTTTTTTTTTTTTTGAGACTGTGAATTAAATTTGATGGAGGTGAGACCCCATCACAGAACAGATAATTGTGTTCTTCAGGGGTTCGAGGGCTTCCCAAGGTGAGGAACTGTGGAGAGAGTGTTCTTGAGAGTTTACAGAGATAGGTAGTATATGAGGAGTATTCACTGAGGGCAGCGCCCTCTGTGGTGGGCAGATGTAAAACCCAGAGCCTTGGGTCTAGGGGGCTCTCAGTTCAGCAGAGGTGACTTTGCAGTCCAGTGGCATCACATAGTAATAAGATGGAGTAGCTCATCGTGGAGTATTTGGAAGTCTGTGGGAGGTGACACTTCAAGAAGGGTCATGGTCCCTGTAGCCAACTGAAGGAAGACAAGATTGGGGCCAGGATGAGGAGTGCTTCAAGCTCTCCTTCCCAGTGTCCAGCTTTCTCCCCCTGAAGCTCTGGCTCCTACGCATCCTTCCTGCCTTTGCCTGCTCTCCTATAAGAGGCTGTCAAATGAATCTTCCTCAAACACTGCTTAGAAGGTGGCATTGACCTGCTCCTAGCTGCCTGCAAAATAATACCCGGACTTCTTGGGTTGGCCTTGAAAACCCCGCAAACTCACCAACCCTGTCCTTCCCCAGATGCACCTTGGAGTTCCTTCTGGAGGGAATGTCTTCCTTCTCAGTCGAAATCTGACCTCGTTCAAGCTTGAGTTCAGGTGTGGCCTCAGTAAAGCCTTCCCTGTTCTGGCCTGTTAGACGTGACCCCTCTTTGGGAGAGGCCCCTTTCTGTCTCTCCTGGAGCCTCATACTACTCCTTTGTAGTTTAGTTATTCATTGTGATTTTAGATCCTTTCTGTTTCTTGAGGACTGAGGCTTAGTCATTCTTGTGTTGTGGCAGCATCTAGCATGGCACTCTGCACCTACCAGGCTCTTAAAAGACACTGTGCAGTGACCTGACGAATGTGTGGCCAGCTCTGTGGAGCTGCATTCAGGCAGGAGTCCAGGACAGGGCTTTCTGGAGCTACCAGCCTTTTGCTGGGTCTTGCTGGGGGACCAAGGCGAGTGTAGAGGGACTCAAGGACCCCAGAGCATTGAGTGCCCTGGGCAAGAACCTAGAGGTTGAAAATGAGCACCTATGGGTAGGGACTATTTGACACGCATATTCCTCCTGCAAACATTCACTCTGCAACAAAAGAGGAATGGCCTTTTTTGGAGAAGTTTCCAGGGAAAGTGCTGATCACTGGGTCTGAGAACATGGAGATGGAGACAGCTTTCACAGAAGAGGAGAGCTGAGGGGCTTGCTCGGAACAGTGGCCCAACTCTCTCAGAAGGCAGGGGCCAAGGGTAATCAACTAGGGGTTAAGGGGTGCAGCCTGATGAAAGAGGGAAACCCATAGTAGGGCACTTCTTCTGTGTCTTGCTGATGTGCCCTGTCCAGCTGAATAGTCTGTCATGGTGGTGAACACCGATTTTCTTTCTCTCTTTTTTAATATTTATTGGTTGTTTTAGTTATAGGTGTACACAGTATCTTTATTTTTTATTTGTATGTGGGGCTCAGGATCGAACCCAGTGCCTCAGGCATGCTAGGCAAACTCTCTACCTCTGAGCCACAACCCCAGCCCTGAACACCGATTTTCATAACTCTGATTGAAGGGACCTAAAGCCTTGTCTTTGCAGTGTTTCCCACTTTTTTGTGGGGGGATACTAGGGATTGAACTCAGGGGCACTCAACCACTGAGCCACATCCCCAGCCCTATTTTGTATTTTATTTAGAGACAGGGTCTCACTGAGCTGCTTAGCCCCTCGCTTTTGCTGAGGCTGGCTTTGAACTCAGCATCCTCCTGCCTCAGACTCCTGAGCCGCTGGGATTACAAGCCACCGCCTCTGGCTCTCACTTTTTATCGTTGTACATGTTTTGGTTCCTGCCTGTGCCTGTCTTTAGCGTGACCAGGTTGTGTTGAAGTGCTGTCTGTTTCCCCATCAACATGCTTAGCTCTCCAGGACGGGGTGTGCTGGATAGGGACCTGTGGAAGGGAGGGGCAGTGGGGAATGGTGCCGGGAGGACCTTGGAAAGTGATGGAGACAGTGCTTGTGGGTCATGGAGAGATGTTCCTCTTCTCTTTGAAAGGCTAGAGTGGAGTGCCTCCTCCAGGGCCTCGTGCCCACCCGACTGGCACATCACAGGAGCATGGGGTGTTTGTCCCTGGGAGAGCCAGTGGTGGAGCTCATGGTCATGGAGCCCCACTGAGGTTGTGGCTCTGCTCTCTCTGCAGCGGGAACCCAGCATCGACCTGCTACAGGCCTTCGTGGAGCACTGGAAGGGCGTCACACACTACTACATCGAGAGCACAGGTGGGGCCGCTTCTCCCCAGCCCGGGGGGCTCCTGGAGGAGGACTTGGTCAGAGGGTCACAGTGTAGCTGACATCCACTGCCAGAGTTGGGGCCAAGCCCGTGGAGACAGGGAACAGACAGAAGGGGATACAGAGCCCTGGTTGCCTATCTTTGTGGCGTGGTTGCAGACTGCATCCTCACCTTTTAGGAGAGGAGCTGTGTGTGGGATGAGCAGGGACACGGGGGTTGGGGATCTCGTTGGCCTGACTGCAGGGTGAAGGTGGCTTCACTTGCCTCAGCTTCCTGCTAGGTAGAACCTCCAGGCCTTTATCCCCCGAGTGCTTGTGCCTAGGGTTACTGGTGAAAAGAAATGGAACGCATTCCCCTTTCCCTGGGCCAACCTAGGGACATGTCCCTTGTAGAGATCTGGGACAGGAAGAGAACCAAAACCAAGGTCTGGCCTATGCCTGGGTCCTTTTCTTTAAGCTGACACCTTAGAGGGCCAAAGCCTTGGGTCATTTGGCCTCTAAGATCACTCACTGAGGGGCAGAATCTGATTGGTTGCTTTGTAGTCAACATGCCTGGATTGGTAGATGCAGAATGGTTGCCAGGTAACCAGATCCTGCATCCTTAGCTTTCCACCTCCCAGCGTTCAGACTGTGTGATTCCAGGCTACAGTGTTCCGAAAGCTTTTTTCCAGCCTGAACCAGCCCAAGAAATTACAAAGTGGCCTTTGGGCACTCTTATGACCCTCTGTTAGCTCAGGGTTCTCAGTGTCAGCACAGTTGACATTTGGACAGTATCGTTCTTGTAGAGGGGGAATGTTTTGTGCAGTTTTGTCTGTCGAGCAGCAGTTCTAGTCTCCACCTCCTGCCCCTCCATCATAACAACCATAACTGTCTTCAGACACTGACCCCCCATACACACACACCCAGTTGGGAACCACCCCTTTACAGCTCTCTTAACAGATCTGCATCCAATTTTTAATTTCCAAAATGGTTCCTAGACCTGAGGCATCCTGAGAGGATGAGGTAGGCCACCTTGCCGAAGAACCTATGCCTTAGAGGAAAGCTAGGGGGTGCTCCAAGGCAAGTCCCAAAACTTTCTCTGTAAGAACCCAGCACCCTGTGAGGCTGACTCCTGAGCCCCCACCAACCAGCTCCTCCATGATGGTGGAACAGGTTGGGGTGGTGTGCAGACTGATTTATGCTTTGTAAAAAAACGGTACTGTCCTTTGTGAGTGGAAAAGGGGCATAAACAGGCCCCAGGAGGTTGTCACTCAGGAAGCTGCTAGAAATAGCCTTATATGTGACAGACCCCTAAGCCCTCAGCTGCTCACTCAAGCCCAGAGCAGACAGGCAGGCAGCTTCTAAAATGTCTTTCTGTGGGCCCATGATGTGTCCTTGTCTCGGATTTTGTAGGAAAATTACCCTGTGATAAAGTGCTGGGGCCATATCCTGGGCCTCATCCAAAAGGACTTTTAAAATATATGAACTGTAAACTTCCATTTCCTGGTTGTCCCCAACCCCTTCCCTCATCTCCCAGGTGTGACCTCCCCCTTCCGGGTTCTGCAGGAGAGGGTACAGTTTTTAAGACAAGTGCCCACTTTCATCCCACTCACCCTTGCTTCCTAAATCTCAATTAGATGAAAACACCCCAGTCAAGAAAACAGATATTCCCTGGCGGTTGAGGCAGATGCTGGACATCCTGGTGTATGAGGAGCGGCAGCAGGTGGCGGCTGGCGAGGCAGGGCCCTGTCTAGAATACCTGCTGCAGCACAGGATCCTGGAGACCCTATGCACGCTGGGCAAGGCCGAGGTGGGTATGCCCAGGGAGCCTCCAGAAACTTCCACTCTAGCCAGCCCCTGGATTCCAGGCTTTTCTACCCTGTCCCACCCAGTACTCACACACACTAAGGGTGAGTGAGCCAAAAGGAAGGGGTTACTGTGGCTGTCTTACTTGGGACATCCCACCTCCTCCCAGGGACTCTTATTCTTTTTATGCTCATTCAGCAAAGATACACTGAACACCTGAGGTGTGCCGGGCTGTGTTCTAGACACAGCAGTGACAAGAAGAGAGGAATCCTCATGGGTGAGGGGCCGGATAACTGTGTACAGTTGGCCCTTGTTATCCTAGGGGGATTGGTTCCAGGACCCCACTCCATCTCCCCTTGAATACCAAATCAACGGATGCACAAGTCCCTTATTCTAGAAAGGGGTCCTGGATCCAGTGTCCCATGGATATACCAAGGGAGGACCATGTTTGCATATAACCTATATGTATCCTCTTGTACCTTTAAATTGTATCTGGCCAGGTGTGGTTGGTATACATGTGTAATCCCAGAGACTCTGGAGGCTGAGGCAGAAGTTTGAGGCCAGCCTGGACAACTTAGCAAGACCTTGCCTCAAAAAATAAATAAATAAATAGGGCTGGGGTTGTAGCTCAGTGGTAGAGGACCCCTAGGTTCAATCCCCAGTACTGGAAAAAAAAAAAAAGTCATCTTTAGATTACTTACAATGCCTAATACAAATTTAAGTGCTGGCTGGGCGCAGTGGCACATGCCTGCAATCCTAGTGACTCAAGAGGCTGAGGCAGGAGGATTGAAAGTTCAAGGCAGGTCTGGGGTTGTGGCTCAGGCCCTGGGTTTGATCCTCAGCACCACATAAAAATAAATAAATAAAATAAATAAAAATAAAATAGTATTTAAAAAAAAAAGTTCAAGGTCAGCTTCTGCAACTTAGCAAGGCCCTAAGTAACGTTAGCAAGACCCTGTCTCAAAAATAAATTGAAAGGTTTAGGGATGTGGCTCTGTGGTAAAGCTTCCCTGGGTTCAATCCCTGGTATCAGAATCAAAATAAATGCTATAAAATTAGTTGTTCTGCTGCATTGATTAGGGAATAATGACAAGAAAAATGTCTGTACATCTGCAGTATAGATGCAATGTGGGATTTTTGCATTTTAATAGTTTTGATCTAAGGTTGGAGGATGTGGAGGGCCAGCTGTAGTATGTTTGATAACTTCTCAGTTATGAGAAAACTAAGGCAGGAAAGGGGGTTGGAGCACAAGGAAGGCAGGTTTGAAACATCATGCAAGGGAAGGACACTTTGTGAGAAGGCAGGCTCTGAGCTATGATGATGAGGAAGTGAGCCCATGGTTTTCTGGGGAGTAGCGTTCTGGGCAGGTAGCTGTGGCCTCGACTGACAGGGCGCTCTGTTCCCACCCCCAGTACCCCCCAGGCATGCGGCAGCAGGTGTTCCAGTTCTTCAGCAAAGTCCTGGCCCAGGTGCAACACCCCCTGCTGCATTACCTCAGTGTCCACAGGCCTGTGCAGGTGAGGGGCCAGGAAGCCAAGGGGTATCTGGGTAGGAGGCCCTCCTTCCCCACCACCCTACACCCCTGTTTCTGCCCTGTTACCCTTCCAGAAACTTCTCCGACTTGGTGGGTCAGTCCCTGGATCCCTCACAGAAAAGGAGGAGGTGCAGTTCACCAGCGTCCTCTGCTCCAAGATCCAGCAGGATCCAGAGCTGCTCACCTACATCCTGGAAGTAAGCATTTCTGCAGAGAACGGGAAGGGGAAGACCTGGAACCCCGGGGGCAAGCTCCCTAAGCCCTTTGAGCAAGCAGGAGAGGTCACAGGCAGCTTCTCTGTGACTCCAGGCTGAGGCCCTGTCCCTGCACTCTTAAGGGAGGTCCCAGGGGAATGTTCTCCACTGTGACCTGGCATCCCTCCTTCTTTGCAGGGTAAAAAAATCATCAGTAGGAAGAAGGCACCCAGAGAGTCTACCGCCCTGTCCAAAGACTCAGCCTGCCACACGGACAAGGACCATTTCCACAGCAGTGCTCCTGACAAAGGATCCCAGCTGGATGGGGAGCACTGTGGGGCCCAGGCCTTGAACAGCCACCTGCCTGCTGAGACTGAGGGGCCAGATAGTGGGACTGGGGAGAGCACCCTGATCACCTCCCTACTTGGACTGTGCAAGAGCAAGGTGCTGGCCATAGAGATGACAAGGGTGGAGACAGGAAGGGGTGGGGTGAGTTGTTAGGAGGCGATCTGGGGTTCAGATGCATGTTCCTGATGTATGTCCCCATCCCCTTAGAAGAGTCGAGTGGCCCTGAAGGCCCAGGAGAACTTGCTGCTCCTGGTAAGTGTGGCCTCCCCAGCAGCTGCCACCTACCTGGTGCAGAGCAGCCCCTGTTGCATGGCCATCGCAGAGCACCTTTGCCAGCTGTACCGATCCCTGCCTGCCTTCCTCGACCCCGCAGACATCGCAGCTCTAGAGGGCATCAGCTGGAGGTAGGTCCTTGGCCAGGAAGGCCGCTTATTTCTCTGGTTTTCCACATGGGATGGGAGTCCCTGCTGGCCACCTTCTTCTTGAGGTTACAGAGAATCCCCAAGGGCTTTGTCAGCCTTCTGGAAGCTTCACTTTTGCAGTCTTGATCACAAGGCCTGCCGTAGAACTGGTCCCAACAATAGCGGCTCCAGAGGAGGAGGAGAGGGCCCACTCCCAGCTGTCCTTGGGGAAGATCTTGAAGTTTTTCTCTCGCCCTCCAGACTTCCCACCTTCCACTTCCCTAGGTTACCCAGTGCCCCATCCGATGAAGCATCCTTCCCTGGCAAGGAGGCCCTGGCTGCCTTCCTGGGCTGGTTTGATTACTGCGACCACCTTATCACAGAGGCACATGCGGTGAGCAGGGGCGGGCCCAGCCAGGGCACTCTCCCGGCTTCCCTTACCATCCCATCTTGAGGACAGGTGGAGCAGTGACTTGGTTGCCCAGGGCCAGGAGCCAGCAGGGTCCCTGTGAGCCCAGCCCTTCTGTCTGATATGTGGGCACTGTGAAGACAGAGATTCCCAGGGAAATTGTGATGGGTATGAACACAGTGGAGACACGCTCTTTGGCACTCAGGTGGTTGCAGATACCTTGGCAAAGACTGTGGCTGAGAAGCTGTTTGTGGAGACTCTGCAGCCCCAGCTCCTGCATGTGTAAGTATCTGTCCGGTTTCCTGGGCCTTGGCCCTGGTCTGCATCATGCCCACCACACCAAGCCCCTTCCTGTCCCTTTAAGACTAGGTAACTCCTTGGCTAGAGTTGGGTCTGTGTACTTCACTGGTTAAAGTTTGCCAGGCCTGCCCCTGACGGCACATCACTCTGAGTTACATGGGCTGAATGACAGCCTCCCACCCCAACTATATGACATCAGTAGGCACAAGGACATAACCCAGGACACATGAACCAAAGAAGTAAGGAGAGCAGCCGAGGGTTCTGCAGCACTGCTCCCATTCCCGCCCCCTGCCCCTGTGCTCTCTCCACCTAGCTCAGATCCCCCCGCCTGGCTAAGGTGCCCTCTGCCCATAGATCTGAGCAAAGCATCCTGACCTCCACCGCGCTGCTGACGGCCATGCTGCGCCAGCTCCGCTCCCCCGTGCTGCTGCAGGAAGCTGTGGCCTTCCTCCTGGGCCCTGACCAGCAGCCTGCAGCCCTTGAGGACAACCCCCGCACCCTGTGTTCACACCTCATCAGACACTGCGACCACCTCTCCGACGAGGTAAGACAGAGGGACGCCTGACTCTGCTCACCCCCACCCTGCCGAGGGGGTCTCCTGAGCACTTCTTCCCATCTTCATTAGCTTGCCCAGGAGATTCTGCCTCTGAGGCCTTGAGCCCCTGAAAGCAATGACAAGGTGATTGGCGGCTGAGCTGTTTTTGTTACCCAGTAATTTTCTGTGACAATATACTCTTCGTGTTGCTGTGTGTTACCGTAGTTTTCCCATTTACTTGGCTTGTTGGAGGCTTAAACCCTCTGTGATGTAGGGGAAGCTGATAGTCCCATTTTTAGATGGGGAAACTGAGGCAGTGGCCTTGCCTCTGATAGCACATCAAATAAGTAACAGAGCCTAGGGATGTAGCTTGGTGGTAGATTGCCTGCCTAACATGTTTGAGGCCCTGGGCTCGATTTCCAGCCCCACCCCACCCCCACCACACAAGGTCACAAAATGAGGACTATACCCAGCTTTCCTGGTTCCTGGGCCACCCTCCATAAACTTCTCGCCCCAAAGCCTGCCATCTTAGCCCCTGGCCAACAGCAGTGACCCCTGCCTTAGAGGACTTTTCTTTATCTGGGCTAGCAGTTCCTAGACACTGAGGTGGGGGGCACCCTGCCATCCCCTCTTGCTCCAGATCAGCATCGCCACACTGAGGCTGTTCGAGGAGCTGCTCCAGAAGCCCCATGAGCAGGTCATCCGTGACCTGGTCTTGTGCAACCTCGACGGCCGTCTGTACGTGGCCCGGGGCTCACCGGAGCCCGAGAGTTATGAGGACACCCTGTAAGTACAACTGGGAGGCCGGGGGCTGCCCAGGACCCAGCTCAGCCCTCAGCACACCCACGAGCAGCCATTCATTGGTGCCGCCTGTGTGCTCTGGCTGCAGAGACCTGGAGGAAGACCCCTACTTCACCGACGACGGCTTCCTCGACTGCGGCTTTTCACCTTCTGCAAAACCTCGTACCGCTCCTCCCACGAGTGCCCCTGGCAAGACTGCAGTTACGGAGATCGTCAACAGGTGGGGAGCAGGTTAGGCAGTCGGAGCCTCTTGACCTGTGTTCTGTTTTGGGGTCCAGTGAGCAGGGGAGCCCAGGGAAGCACCTCCACACCTAGGCTCTGTCTCCCAGTTTCCTCTGCCTGGTGCCGGAGGAGGCCAAGACCTCAGCTTTCCTGGAGGAGACTGGCTATGACACGTATGTCCACGATGCCTACGGACTGGTAAGTGGCAACTCTGCAGTAAGTACCCCTCTTGTCCTTCCGAGACCTTGGGTTGACAAACTCCTTTGGTGTCCTGCCCAAGGGGCCCCAGGCCCATCCCTCCTGCATTGGGTCCCTCGGCTGGGCCCTTCAACTGTCCCCCAACTCTCCTCCTTTCTGCTTCAGTTCCAGGAGTGTAGCTCCCGCGTCGCCCCCTGGGGCTGGCCCCTGGGTCCTGCACCCCTGGACCTCCATGAGCCCGAACGGCCTTTCTTTGAGGGTCCCTTCCTCCAAGTGCTGTTTGACCGCATGGCCCGGATTTTGGATCAGGTAGCCAGTAGGATTGGGCCCCAGAAGAACTGCAGGTTGGGTCCTCTGAGTCCTTCAAGAGAGCAGGGGCTAGCCACAGGGCTTGACGCCCATCTCTGGGTCTCCATCTCCATGGCCCCTCGCCTTTCCCCAGGCGGGAAGCCCATCTTGCTTCTGCTTCACACGCCCTAACATGCTTTGGCCCTCAGCCCCAGGGAATCCATGACACACACACATCACGTGAGCCTCCCACCCCCGCACACGTTCACACCAGCCAGGCGCCTTGCTGGGGGAGTGAAAAAATGCTCACCACCCCCTGCCAATCCTCAGTATTGTCCATCTCATTCCCTACAGCCATACAGCCTGAACCTGCAAGTGACCTCAGTCCTGTCCCGGCTCGCCCTCTTCCCCCACCCCCATATCCACGAGTACCTCCTGGATCCCTACATCAACCTGGCCCCTGGCTGCCGGAGCCTGTTCTCTGTGCTTGTTAGGGTAAGAATGTTGGGGAACAGGAAGGAAGGGATCAGGGAAGGGGGCTGGGGGCTGGACACTCTTGCCAGTCAGGGAGAGATAGGTCCCCCTGCTCACCCCTACGGCACAGCAGGGCCAGGGGAGCCTGCAGAAATATGTCTGGTTCCCATCTCAGTCCTCTCTGGTTCCCATTCTAGGTGATTGGAGACTTGATGCAAAGAATTCAGAGGGTACCCCAGTTCCCAGGCAAACTGCTCCTGGTACGCAAGCAACTGATGGGCCAGGTCCCTGGGGAGCAGTAAGTAACCGAGGGTAGTGGTGCCTCAGGGAGGTAGAAGGTTCCTCAGGTCGGGAGCGTGTCTGGCCACTGGGTCAAGCCTTGATATTAGGTTGCCATGCTAGGCACATGCCTCTGCCACCCAGTCATGTCCCCTGTGCCGTCTCCCCTCAGGCTGGACCACCAGATCCTCCTTCAGGGTGTGGTCGTACTTGAGGAGTTCTGCAAGGAGCTGGCTGCCATCGCTTTCGTCAAGTTTCCCCCACATGGTCCTCAGCTGAACCTCTCCCCACCCCCGGAAGGGCAAGTCTGAGCCAGGAGTATGACGGGCAGGTGAGGAGACTCCTGTCCAAACCTCTGCTCAGAAGCTGCCTCCTGCCTGGCTCCGCTGCCACTGCTCTCCTCTGGGTTGCGGGCCTCAGCTCCCAGGCCAACTCTGGGAGGCCTTGACCTGTTGACCACATGGGCCAGGGTTTCAGGGAGTGGGCTTCTGAAGTGCCAAGGAGCAAGAGAGAGAGATGGCTTCCCAGGCATCAGGGTCCTCGGGCCTTCTCGGAGAATGTGAGTGGTGGCCAGTGAGCGCCCAGACCCTGACCCTTCTGTGTTATGGGACTGTTCCCTCAGTGCTGTCCCTGTGTGGTCAAGGCCATGACCTGTGACAGATAACTCCATGGGCAACGGGGACTGAGCTCCTGGCTCCCAGGAACCCAAGCCAGAGAGATGGGGACCAGAAGCCCTGTCACGAGGCACCATGGAAGCTGCTGAAATTTGTCATTTTTTCTTGCCTTCTTGGCTTGAGCTGTGGAGAAGGGGCAGAGAAGGGGACTGTGGGGGATCCCCCTCTTCCTGCCCTGCCCTACTGTAGACTGTTGCAAAATTCCCAACTGCTTCATGGCACATGCCCAAAGCATGCTCCGCACCCAGGCGGGGGCAGCCACTAATGAGAACCCCAGAGCCGTGGCAGCCAGGGCAGGTGGGCGCCTTGGAGCTGGGGAGCCAGGTGCCAGTCCACACAGCTCCAGCTGCTTCCTCTCTGGCGCCTTCTGAACCCGTCTCAGCAGGTCCACAACACCTGGGCAGAGAGGTCAGTGACCAGGGGAGGCCATCCTTGCTCTCCAAAATCCAACTCCCGCTCAATGCTCCCAGTGGAACAGCTGGAGCACAGGACCTCAGGGTACAGATGGGCAGGACACCCCTGCCTCCAGACCCCCGAGGCCTGGTGGGGAGGGGCCGAGGCACAGGCAGTTGGTTCTGGTGTTCTTCTCCCTGTGTGCACTCCACGGCTGGGTCTGCTACCCCGCCCGGCCGAATCTGTCTCAACCTGCAGGAACACGGGCGTAGCCAGGCATTACCTCACAGCGGGACTGCAGTTGCTGGCTTCGCTCCTGGGCAAGGAGGAGCAAGCCAGAGCCCCTTTTGCTTCCTTTTCCTGCCCATGCCGCTTCTAGAAGCCTGGCACAGGTTGCCAAGAGGTGACATGAAAGAGGAGGGAACTCAGTGACCTCTACCTCTCCCGCATTCCTCCAGCGGGGGAGGACTCTTGCTGCTTGGAAGAATGCCGTGCATGTGTGCACAGGGTGTTGGTGTGGCAGGAGAGCAGACAGTGGCTGGATCGGGTCTGGACACAGATTCTTAAACTGTTCGAGGGTCTGAGAGTCCCGGGCCTCTAATCAATGCACTTTGGCATTTGCACGGTGTCTTCCCCCAGGTAGCACAGCAATAAACAGTGTGACTGCGTGGACTCGATGGCTGTGTTGTTCTTCAGCCTTCTCATCCCCTACCCGGGCTTCTCTGCTAATTTGGGCCCATCTTCCACCCCTAAGAAGACAGGTTCAGTTCCTTTTCCAGCACTGGCGCATAGGTGGGTGGTAAATGGAGACAGGCTGTGGCCGCGCAAATCCGATATTCCTCCACACCTGCCAGGAACTACTCTCTTGGCTGAGCCACACGACACTGTTTCTACTCAGCTCATCTACAACAGCCTGCCAGCCTGGGAGGGACCAGGAGGGGACAGGCCATGTGGGAGTATCTGGATGCAGGTCTCCTTTTCCTGGATTTGTTGCGTGCTGCGTTAACTCTCCTCTCATTAGTGAAGGGCAGGCCTGATATTTAACATACTTGTCCTTAGATGTGTCTAGAGGGGAGGGCTCCTCTGAGAGGTCACCAACAGCATTCCAGGGTCAGGCAGGCAGAGAACTTAGAGAAGGGCCCTCCTGTGGCTCTCAACTGGGTGCACATTAAAATCTAAGCTGGCCTTTTTTCTTCTTTTAAACCCCTGAGCTATATCCCCAGACCTTTTTTTTTTTTTTTAATTCTAAGACAGGATTTCACTAAGTTGCTGGGGCTGGCCTTGAACTTGCGATCCTCCTGCGTCAGCCTCCCCATTTGCTGGGATTATAGGCATGTGCACACCTGGACCCTTTTTAAAATGCCAGTGCCCGGCCTGTCTCCCCCAGCAGTTAAGTCAGTTTGGGGGTGGGGCGGTAGGGTATGGAAGTTCTCTATGTGACTCTCATGTGCTCCTCGTGTGGAAAACGACCATGCTGAATAGTGGGTGTGGACTGGAGTGGCAGGGGAGGGAGGTGTCTCTCAGACACTCTGAGAGTGAACCAAAAAGGGTTTGGTTCATCATTCACAAGATGTGTCTCAGAGGGGCTGAGGATTTCAGCCTCTCTCCAGAGGCCAGAGAGACAAGATGGCAGCTGAGAGAAGGCAGGGGCTGGGAAAGGCCAGAGTTCCCCTGGGTAATTACCCAAAGGAAAGCCCATTCAAGTGTTCACCTGCTCGGAATCAGAAATCTACTCCTTAGATGTGGTGATCAGCACAGGATATGTTTTCTTTGTTACTTTGGTTTTCCCCTAAAGTTCTTTTATTTGAAAATACACACATACACACACACACACCTCCTGCTATGATCTGGCAGGAATCTGAGAGGAATTGAAGAAAGGGTTTAATACAGCTTGGGCTGAAAATATAAGCAGGCAGAGGCGAGAGGGAGTGGGTAGGCTCAGAGCCTGGGAAGCTCAGGCAGAGGCAGGGGCGGTATTTCCGGCTCCAGACCCACCTGCATCTTCCCAAGGTCCCAGCTGCTCAACTTCTGGAGGGGTCTGAGCTGTTTTCATGAAGGGTGTGGCCCCTCCCAGTCACATCCTGCCCAGCAAGACAGAAGAGATGGCAAGAGCCCTGGTGGGCTTAGAGGTTACAGTGAACAGCAGGAGGTACCAGCCCCAGCCACCCTGTTGGTGCACTGGGTGGAAGGGGGGACGCCTGGGTGGCTGTGGGTGGGACAGAGGAGCAGCAGGTCTCCTGAACAAGAGCCTCCCTCACTTCACCCCCCCAGAGACATTTAGGCAGGAAAGGCAAGGTGAGCAACATCTATTTACTCCGCAAGGGGCTCTCCCTCAAAGGCCTCCCTACACCCTCCTCCAAGTTGTAATTGCTTGAAAGAATCAGCATGCAGTCCTTTACCAAGGTGGGCACAGAAAGTGAGGAGATGCCATTTGGGGATCAGAGTGCTCCTCATCCACTTAGGGAGAAGCATTTGTGTACCCTCGAGGCAACTAGGTGCTTGCACTCTAGACTTGCTTAAAAGGCACTGTCCCTTTTAGTGCAGTGCAGGAGCCTGTGGCCTGTTCCACAAAGTTTCCCTGAGAATCAGGAAAACTGCCCCTGCTCTCTGTGCAATCAGACTGCCAGCCTCCTGCCTGCCTTGGAGGGAGGGAGGCAAAGTCTGATAGAGAAGTCCTATCGCCCAGCTCTTGCCCACTGCTGGCACCTCCCTATCTGTTTAGTGGGACAACAGAAGATTCCTGGAGCTTCTGTAGGAGCTGGGTTTGTAGGTCTCCCTCCATCACCTTCCACCAAGAATAGTTCTCACCCAGAACCTTCGGGGGCTCATCTTGGATCCCTGGGTTCCGAAAAGCCACTGTCACCAGCACATTCAGGCAGATGCCATCTGTATGTTCTTTGCCCAGGTGCTGCAGTCCCAGCAGCCCCTTGGTCTCCACTGCCAAATTGTGCAGGGTCAGACACTCCTGTAGCAGCCGCAGGACAGCCACCTTGATGCCACCCCTCTGCTCCATGGGGGTAAAGCCACAGGCAGTGATGGGCAAATGAGGCATCCCCACTGTGCCCACCAACACCCACACTGTCTGTACATTAGTAAAGGTGGCCACCAGCCGCTGGCAGACCACACTGCAAGGAAGCTCTTGGGGCAGGATGAGAGGATGCCTGGCTTGCTGGCGGTACTGGGCAGCTAGCTCTACCAGGTGCAGAATGTCATGGGCTCGTAGTGGAGTGGGCAGGGAGATCCGTGGGTACCAGGCAGCCTGCAGGGACTCAGCATCTGCCTCCTTGGAAGTCTTGAGAATCCCACCTAGGGGAGATTTGGGGCACAGGGAGGGAGGGAGGGAGAAGGTATTAAAAGAAGCGTGGGGACTGGCAAAGTAAAAGAACGCCCAAGAACTCCAGCCCCGATCAGGGAGGCCATGAGCCCTCAGGCTGCAATCAGCCAGCACCAATCTTGTACCAGTCAGAACAGGGCTGGCTGTGGAAGGGCTCCTCTCACCAAAGGACAAGCTGGGGGAAAGGTGGCCGTTAGCCCCTTCTCACATGCCACCAAGTGGGCTGTACCTGTGGGGCGAGCAAGGAACACGAAGCGGATCCAGGAGGGGCCCCGCTCTTCCACCAAGAGCAGTGTCACAGGCTCACAGTGCAGGCCAGCCTCCTCCTTCACCTCCCGCTGCAGTGCCTCCACGATGGTCTCCCCAGGCTCCATTCTCCCCGCAGGAAGGTACCATGACCCCCGGCACTCCCTCTTGGCCTCCTGGATCAGTAGCACCTCATCCTGAGGGGGCAGAGAGAATCTTCACCCCCAACCTGGCTGGCAGTCTGGGGCTCCAGAAGAGCAGCCCAACAAGCAACCTTCCCACCCAGGAGCCCAAGTGGATCTAAAAGGTGGAAGCCCAAGACTCCCTCAATGGTGGACACCTTCAAAATGCTGAGCTGTCCAGGACACTGGCCTTTGTGTGGCTGGGGGCTAAAGAAAAACTTTCTTTGTAATAATTTATGCCTCTGTGAATTCAGAAAGACTTCCATTTCAGCAAGGGGCTAAGATGCCTGGGAGCTGCTTCAGGGGCTGGAGATAAGGCCCTAGAATGAGGGTTCCACTTGTCCTGTACTGACTGGTGTTTATATATATCACAGTGTAGCTGTCACTTTCCCCTGGGGTTTACAAACAGCTTGTGGCCAGTCCCTACTCTGGGAACTGAGCTTTGAAGCTAGCAGTCACCCCCATCTCGTCCCATGTGGCCCCTCCCTATGGCCTTGGCCACTTGTAACTGTCATTACATTGACTTGTACAGACATCAGCCCAAAAAAGAACTCTCAGGGCGCCAGAGACCTGAGTGTAAGCGCCTCATTCCATTCCTTGGAAGTCCTAGCCAGCCATTAGAGGGTCCCACTCCGTGTCACCCCATCCTAGACTCCTGGAATGGAGGGGGGATACCAAAGCCTCCCGGCAAGGAGCTGAGGCCTACTGAGTGGGACCAACAGCTCGCGGGCCTCAGTTTCCGCCTCTGTCTATCGGGACAATCGCAGGGCTCAGATGCAAGTGTGACAGTGCTTTGTAAAACTGGGAAGCGCCACGCACAGTGCAGTGGTGGCTGCGGCCGTTGGCTCTCGGTCCCCACCTGGGCTGGCTGCGCGCTCCCGAGGCCCAGAGGAGGGCCGGCGGGCGGACGCTCACCTGCTCGTTGAGGAACACGGCCAGCACCACGTAGCAGACGTTCTTCCGCAGCCGCACGGGCGCGGGCGGCTCACCGGCTGGCCCCGAGTCACAATTCTGTACGCGCAGCCCCTGGCCCCCCAGCACGGCCGCCAGCGCACCCGCCAGATCTTCCGAGGCCATCGAGTCGCCTGGCAGGCGGCGGCCGAGACCCCGCGGACTCCAGAGCCCGGTGGGCGGGACGGGCGAGCGGGGGCTCCTTCGCCCACGTCCCCTCCCCTGCAGCCTCCGCCGGCGCGAACGCGGAAGCGCCCGGCGAGCCCCGCCCGCTGAGAGTCTGCGTGTCACCGCGGCCCGCACGGATTGGCCGGCCCGAGTCGGTCACCGAGGGGGCGGGGACAGCCCGTTAAGGGGCGGGGCTCCGGCCCGGGGCTGTGGGGACCCTCGCCGCGCTTCGGCCGGCTTGCCGTTCCTGTCTCTCTCTCGGGCGGTCTCCCGCCGCCAACCCCTCTAATTCCTCCAGCACGCACTTGTCAGTGCGGGTTCCGACGGTGACGTCATCCTTCCCGCAGGGTGCTGAGCGCCCGGGCGGCCAGTGGCGGTGGCGTCACAAGCCCGATGACGTCACAGAGGCCGGGACCCGCCACTTGGACCCACTGTCCAACTTTCATCATAAACAAATTAGGGCAAATTGCCCGAGATGATCACCTTCCAAATAACTTTCTTCTTACTTCGGTTAATTGTGCTAAATGTCAGGTGGCCCGTGGACACAGACTAATGCCTTGGAGATTCTGATCTAGTTGGAGAGATGGACACAGACATTTCATAAAAAGTCAACTAAGGGTTATAGGCTAAGTGCTAAATCATTGGTTTGGGCAGAAGATTTGCCAGACGGAGGCTCAGAGGAGGGAGAGGGCAAGACTGGGATGGTCAAGGTGGGGCAGGGGTGGGAACCCGAGGCAGGGATTTGGGGCTGAGAAACAGTCTGGAATCAGCGGCTCAGCCTTGGTCAGAGGGCCCC